AAGAGACAGGGTCAGGGAGGAGCCGCAGGACGCCTCAGACCCTTCCGAAGGGGATGATGTGCAAGGACAGTGGGAAAGCGACAGCTCGTCCTCGTCCGCCGATGACGGCGGGGAGCCTGAGGACAGCGACATTCCGGGCGAGGTGGAGGAAGAGGAGGAGGAGGAGGAAGAGGAGGAGGTAGGGTGTTTGCCTCACATAACACAACCCTGTTTCTCAAAGTATGTGTCACAGCCTGAACATAAAGCAGAGTTTACGACACCTCTGTAAAGCAGAGGAGTTTGCTGTCTAGTCAGGCCATGCAGATGTTGCCGTGGGTCAAAACAGCGTCGGGCCCTGCAACAGTGATGACTTCAGAGGCCTGCTAAGGCCTAGGGACCACTGTTGGGCGTGGAGGGTAGAGTTCCCCCGAGTCAGGATGCTGGCAGATAGTACCCTAAAGCACAGGACATGTGGTATTGTCCCTGTATGCAGGATCAGCAAATAAGTACCCTGGCTTTAGAGTTTTAAGAACGTGATTAAGCACTTCTGCTAAGAGCAAAAACATAGCTTATGTTAAAATCTGTTGCGGACTGAAGTGTTACTTCTGGGTGATCCCAGAGGTTCTGCCTGTGTTAGGTCTTGTAGGGGGATGGAGGAGGCCGAATGGGTCATTTAGCCCACTTGGCAGTAATTTAAACTGTACATCGGCAGCTGATAAAACCAAGACCTAAAATGTCAGGTTTTATAACAATAACTTAAAGAAAATGTCATATAAAGGGAAGAGGGCGTTTGCTGTCATCAAGTTGGTCATAAGCAGTAACTTGTTGCATGCTTCTTTCCTGTATGAAGCTGTTCCTTTGGTATTAGTTACTGGATGGTAAAATATATTAACTAGAAGTTTTGTATGTTAATCTTAAATAGGAATGTATATTTGTGCTTAAATATTTAAAATACAAGTCTCATTTGGTATCTGATTTTATTGTTTTCTTGGTAAGAGTCATAACCACAGTGCTACGAAGTATGTTCCCCCTCAAGTAAGGAAAGCTCAGGAGACACTAGATGACAAGAAAAGAGAAGAATTGGGAAGACTGAAGAAAATGGTGAATGGTCTCATTAATAGGTAATGTAATAAGGAAAGTCATTAATCTTTCTGGTTCGATGTGACAGTCCTCATCATTCAAAGAAAAGTGGCATGGATGTGACTTTTCTCATCACAAACTGATTTGAAGTTGGCAATCAAGTCTGCTATCCTTAATAATAATTATCTTGTTGATATAAATTCTTCAAAGCTGGTCGTTACAGAAGTTGAAAAATCTGGAAAATAAATTTAAGATTGGACTGAATTCCACATAGCAGTTGCCTGCAAGAGCTAGGTATAATTCACTAAGTGTCAGTGGAGTATGCCTATAAAAAAAACACAGTGTTTGAGTGATAACTCCCCACCACCAAAAAAGCATTTTATTTTTTTAAGTAAGTAAAATTATTTTTTTCCAGTGCTACAACTGAGGAGGAGCTATATACATCATAAAATACTGAAGAACATAAAAAGTAATTAACACTTTCACAAACTTTAATTTTAGAGTATTTTTAAAATAACAAATCTATTGGTATTTTCTTTCGTCCATGTTACCTGTAAAATGCAGACTACAGTATGCAGTTTCTTCGGTTGTTTAGAATTTGATATGCCTTATGTTAGAGAAGTATGAGGTATTCTCACACTTAATTTCTGAAAGACTGATGTGCTATACTTAAAACTACTATTTTGTTAATAAGTCTGTTCAGTGTGACAGCACATTAGTAGTGCTTTATAAATACTGCTGCTAATATGTTTTTAAATTTAAATATTTTTTAAAAAACCCTCTCAGAACTAAACATATGTTATACTTTTTTAGTGAACACAGCAAAATACAAAAGGTCCCTTCCAGTCATCATTTCAATCTTTCTTAAGCTAGACCAGTTTCTCTAAAAAGAATAGGTTGTTTGGGTAAATTGAAAATTGTAGAACTGTGTAAAGAGGAAAAAAAAGTGAACACTGGGTTTTGTTTCTCAATAGGTTGAGTGAACCGAATTTGTCCTCCATTAGTGGACAGATGGAAGAGCTCTACATGGCCAACAGTAGAAAGGACATGAATGAAACTCTGACACATACTCTCATGAATGCTTGTGTTACTGCAGTTGCCATGCCTGCAAGACTGATAATGGAGCATGTCCTTTTGGTCAGCATTCTCCATCATAACGTAGGAATTGAGGTAATTTTTGTGTTTGAGACTAATTTTGTTTAATAATACATATTGTAGAGTGTTTTCATTGTTATTTTGTTTTATTTTTTTGATTGTGTATCACTAAAAAGTATCTCTAGTTGAATTTAATCAGCTGAAACTACTGGTGTCAAAGGGAAGATTTTAGCTAATTTCCAGTCAAATGTCTCACAGGAAACTGAGGTGTTTCAGCACAATGATCCCATCAAGTTACATTTTCTTTCTACAGTTCAATGCAAAAGATGTATTGATGCAAGTTTTTCAGTTTTTCATCTAATGACCTGAATGCTTGCTCTGAAACTATAATTAATATCAGATGGATGCAATTACAGTAGCTTTCTTTATGCAGTTTTGCTGTTAAACCTGTTTTTACTCTTTGCTGCTTGAAAGGCCATTCTGACTGCACATATAATGTAATATTACAATGCTGTTTTAAGAAGAGAAACACAATCTTTTCAGAAGTTGAGACTTTGCAAAATACATAGTAATAAGTTTTAGATACAGATTCACTAATAGATGTTAGAAATAGATGTTATCCAGACTTTCTGTACTACTGACTGTTACACAGCATCTTTCAATCTAAAACTGTAGTATTTAAGTATGCTATAAAGCCCCATTATTTTTTCTGTAAAATAAATGTAGAATGTGCATTACACATTAGTGTGATGGCACAGCTGCATTTAAGATTAGTTCAAGTATTGCAGAAGATGGAATTCCAAAGGCTGTGTTTATACATTTGTGCAATATGATCATTGTGTAGTTTAAACCTAAGCTGGTCAAGGCTTGTAGTGCAGGTCTTCATGTTTTCATAAGAACAATCAACAAATATTAGCACCATAGTAAGGAGGGGCTTGTTTAGCAGTAATTTGCTCATTACTTCCCTATATTTTAGTATGGTTTCTAATTACACTCTTTAGCATCAGTTTTCTCCTCACAAACATAGAGGTACAAAATTTCTTTTCCCAACTGTACTGCTGACAAATGGCCCAAACTTACACCCACTTCAAAATCAGCCTAGGCTTGTGCTCCGCAACTGTGACAACTTGGTATGTTGGAGTTTTTTTACAATATTATTTTTTACCATCTCGTTAAGGATTTTGTTCTGGAATGCTGAACTCTGTGATGCATTTGGTTTTTGATGCAGCTTTTACTGGATGAATGACTAGCAGTAACAGCATGCCAGCCTGACAGCTGGGAAGGTACAAATACGTGTCCATGAAAATTAGTAAACAAATTCTGATGTATGTGTACTGTTAGTTCATAACACTTGCTTTTTAGCACTAACTTTAAAAGGCAACTGGATGTCACAGATGAGGTGTAAATAACATACACTTTAAGAAGATGTCACACCACTTAGATATTTGTATATGTAAATGTAGAACATCCATATTGGTTGAGAGGAGCAACAGTATTTCTTTAAAATTAATAGTAGCAGTGCCCTCAAAATGAATGTTTTACAGATGTCTGTTAAATATGCTTACGATTAACTGCTGGATTTTATTTTTATTATTTCTTTTTCCCCCTTAATGGAACTATTGCCAGGTTGGTGCTTACTTCTTGGAAGCTGTGGTGAAGAAATTTGATGAGCTATGTAAAAGTGATGCTGAAGGGAAAGAATGTGAAAATCTGCTTGCCTTGATTGCTCATCTGTATAACTTCCATGTGGTTCATTCCCTGCTGATCTTTGATATTCTGAAAAAGCTTGTTAGCACTTTCACTGAAAAAGAGATTGAGTTGATTCTGTTTCTTCTGAAAAACGTGGGCTTTTCCTTAAGAAAAGATGATGCGTTGGCTTTGAAGGAACTGATCACTGAAGCCCAGAGAAAAGCAAACGCAGCAGAGAAGAAACTCCAGGATCAGACTAGGGTACGTGTGTGTGTTAAAGATTTTCAGTTCTAAATAGACTTTAATAAGCCCTTGGATATGTGTGTTAATTTACCAAAATGTTTTTTGTTACACACTATTTAGGTTCTAAGATACGTTTAGTGTTCAGTTCTTGCATTCAGTTACTTGCATTCTTCTTGTCTGTCTTTCTCCATTAGTTCTTAGGACAAAATGCTTGTAATGGGTGAGACTGTGACTGGTTTGTGTCTTACGCAATGGACAGTGCTTCTGTTTCATGATGCTTTGTACACTTCAGAAAATGGTCACTGAGGCGTGGTGTTTAGCAGATTAAGCTTTGAATTGAAGCTTGAAAACAAATTAATACAATGAGTTAAAGTAAACATCCTTCTCTGTATTTGTATTCATGTAGTGTAAATTTGATGTATATTGCTAGCTAAACTGCTTATTCTCACAGAATAGTAAATTCAGAGTACACTCTCTACTTTAAACTACCAGCACATAATCTGCAGAAAGATCTCTCTTCCCAATAGGTTCGTTTTATGCTAGAGACCATGTTGGCACTAAGGAATAATGACATGCGGAAGATTCCTGGTTATGATCCTGAACCAGTTGAGAAGCTCCGCAAATTTCAGAGAGCACTGGTGAGAACTTTCTTGACATATGTAGTGTAGCTATTCTTAAACCAGAAGTAATTATTTGTATTGTACACTGGCTTGATTGGCTATAGTATTTTTAAATTAATTTAACAGTCTGAGACTTTTGTGGACAAAAATTACTTCTTAGATCATTAAGTATTGTCTCCTGTGTCTAAGTTAAGTCAGCAGTCAGCCAGCCCTCTGCAGAACAGTTTGAGAAGGAGCATAATACTTAGCCAGAGACTTTGCCTCAAAGTCCTATACTTGAAAAAGAGCCTGTGGGATGTTTAATGACTGTGCAGAAGGAATGAGTCATTATAACAAGTTCTCTTTTCCCTCGATTTTGGATGCAGGTACCTCCTAACTTCACCAGAATTATTTTGGAAGCCTAACACTTCTGAAACCCTGAATGTTTTTTTGGTTTGGTTTGGGTTTTTGTTTGGTTGGTTTTGGTGTTTGTTTGTTTGGCAGAGAGAGGGCAGTTTGTCTAGAACAACACAGTACAAAATACATGAAAGTAATTGTCTCTTTGGATTGAGAACTAATTCATTTTCACGGGACTTTAATCTGGTTTTAGAGTCTATGTATCTCTAACCTGAAAATTATGGTACTTGTCTACAACACCTAGAGCATCTTATTTTTCAGAAATTTCTAAGTGCAGGATATGCACATCAGCGATAATAGGCCAGGCAGAAATAAACTGGGTAACCTAGTTCTGTAGAACTTCCTCTCTCAAACTTTTGCAGGCCTCCTGGTACACTTCTGAGCTCTTTTGTTGAAAATTTTTATTTTGTTCAAAGAGTTTTAAATCTTTGTTGTTTGAATTGTATTAAACTTAAGGCGATTTGTCATGTGATTTTATTTGATCTAAAGGAAAATCATGACCAGATTGTAAGATGCTGCAACTGATTTTCAATGTCAGCATCAAGTCTGAATTCTAATCAAGTTTTATGATTGGAAGATGGTTATTTTTTTAATTATCTTTTTTAAAAAAATTAAAATTCAAGAGCTTCTAAATGTAGATTTAAGCAACTTCTTGTATTTGAGAAATTAGAGCATATGGGAAACTTGTAAATTCAGGTTGCTGACTGGCACTAATGGTTGAGGGGGTGCATGTGAAGACCTTTATGGAGATTAAGTTGCTTGTTTAAAATACTTGTTTAAGAGTAATTAAAGTATTTGTTTGGGTTTTTTAAAAAAAAAAAGCTTCAAATAAAAGCTTTTGTATTTTTTGTATTTTGTTACTCAAGATTCACAGCAGTGGTTCTGGAAAAGAAACTCAGCTCCGTGTCTCCCTGGAATCTCTTCTCAGTGCTGATCGGGTTGGTCGCTGGTGGATTGTAGGGTCATCCTGGAGTGGAGTACCAATGATTGATGATACAAACAGCAAGACTCAGCAAAAACTGCGTATAGGAAAGGTAAATCCAAGTGGTGCTAGTTAAGTGTTTGTGATCTTTTGGATATTCTTCATACAGATGAGTGAGTTCATTTCACAGCCCACTAAAAAAAACCTTCACGGACTCTCGTAAGACTCAGCTTTTTGGACTGTAAATTCTGCTCTTATATTTTTCAAAATGTACTCATGCGCTTCCTAAGAGCTGTTACTACAAACATTATGGCATAGCTTGTTTTTTCTTATCCTGTGGAATTGAAAAAGTAATGTATGTAATTGGAAGAAGAAACTTGATTTTAAAGTGTATTTGCTGGTATGAATTCTGACAGGTAGTGTTATCGTCTGTGGGTGGCATATATCTCAGCTAATTCTGAAAGCAGTATGGCGAGATGATCATGGTGACTTACGTTAGAGAAGCATGTCAGACGTAATTGGCACAATCAAAATATATTTCCCTAGTTGAAAAAGCTCCTGATGATGCCTGTGCCACTGGACAAAATCTCAGGACTTTTGGATTGCTGCTTCGTACTTTACCAGAGGTCTTCAATAATTGTCTTATTCGAGGCTGCACAGAAATAGCTTTCTTAATGCTCTTTTATTTCAACTTGCTTTTAATTTTTTTTTTTAGGTGAGTTCAAAGATAATGGAGCTTGCTCGTAAGCAGAGAATGAACACCGATATCAGGAGAAGTATTTTTTGTGTTTTGATGACAAGTGAAGACTTCCTGGATGCCTTTGAAAAGCTTCTCAAGTAAGTACAGGCTAGCACAGAAGACAGCCCAGAACTCAAAATAGCATTAGCTGGATTGGAAAAACAACATCACTGGTCTGAGCTTAAGAGCATTTAGTTGATAGTACAACTAAAGAAGTGTATAGCTAGGGATCCACATAGGCTTAAAGGGTAGGAGAGGGACCAAAACCCTGGTGTAAGGACTAGTAGGGGGCAGGCAGAACTGATTGGCAGGCAGAGGAAAGAAGTAGCCCCTGTTACTGTCATTCATGTCTAACTGTGGTTTACAGCATCTTTTGATTTAAGGAGCCTGTATCTTTTTGCACTGAAGACATGTATCCTGGTCTAGCGGATAGAAGTCTGTTGCAGGCTTGCTTCCTTACAGAGGTAGACCAGAAGCCCCTTCAGAACATCTCTCGATTTTTTTTTTTAAATTTTGTTTTGTTTTGGTTTTTTTCTGGATTTTTATACTACTGCCACTTCCTTTACGTCTTGCCACCTTGTCAAGTCATCTTGTAGATCTCTGTCCATACTTGCATGACCTGGTAGTGTTATAGCACCTCCATTTCCCTCTTGCAGAATTTATTAGCTTTGGATTTTCTCCAGGGTCACATTTCATGTTAAGGCCAGTTTCCTTACTGCTTGGCAAACAGCTCTTTAGAAGAATGTGTGAGCAGGGAAAAGCTCAAACTAAGCTATTCTTTGTTTTTGTCAGAGTATTAATCGTAAGTCTGTAGTAACTGGGAGGGGAGAGATCAGGTCTGAACTTTTCTGTTCCAGCCTTGTAATTCAAGGGAATTGTCTTACCAGGATGGCATGCAATTATTTAATTTGCTAACCAAACCAAAACAGACTTTGTAATAAAGTCAACTAATATTTGATTAAATGCCACTTCTGCAAAACACAGCTTGGATTTAAGACTGTGATGGAGTCATTCCAATATCTTAATATGGCCTGTTCAATTAAAAGAAATTAGCTGCTGCTGCTGCAGTTCTTGCCAAGACCTGGTAGTTCAATTTGCAAATTGATCCTCGACTCTCATCTGTGCTATTTAAACTAGTATACAAATCGGTATATGTACAGGCTTGGCAGAAAAGCTGTCTGCAGATTGCCTGGTGTGTGTTTATACTGATTTTTATACAGCAAACTTGGAGAGGAATTCTCAGATCTGCACACATCTGGCAGAGTATAATGGAAGGTACACAGAATTGTCAGTGAAGAAGTTAACTTCAGTGTGAACATGTGTTCCAGAGAGTATAGGAATTTATATTCATATGTTTGATGACAGTCTCATGAGGAAGAGCATGAGAAATATATAAAGGACTATTTTAACTGTGTTTGTTGATTAATCTGCTGCTAGGTCTCTGGCAGAGTTGAAGTATGGTTAAGTGGTAATTTAAACCATTTGAAATCCAGGCTGCTATGGTTTTGCTTGTCTTTCTCCTCCTTGCAGCAAAATAGTTAATTAGTTCGAAGCCAGAACAGCTCCCTGAAGTGGCTTAGCTTGTAATTGCAGAAGTGTCAATATAAAGGGAGGGTTGGGAACATCACTGGAGACAGAGGAGAGAGTGAGACTTGATCCATTTCATCAGCTGAAAGGCCACACTTCCTTCACGAATCACAGATTCACACAGGAGGGGGAATGAATGCTGCTTAAGTTTGATAGAGGCAATTTTTAAAGCTATTTACATCTCACTAAAGCCTGAGACTTCCAGAACAGAAGTCTTGGATATCCTGTTAAAGATGTGTAATTCAGGATAGCAAGTATGTGATTGCCTACTCAAATAATTTGAACTGACTTTTAAAAGGTGGGTTTGAGCATTGCTATTTTTGATCTAGAGGCAATGATAGTCTTGGCCCTCAGCTGATGATAACTAACCTACTTAGCGCCAGGCTTCTGCTGGTGATAAATAACCTACTTCAGAGGCAGTTATCCCATATACAGCAGGAAATTCTTAAAGTGATCAGGACGTGCAAGTCTGTGAGAATATTGTAACTTGGATGATTTAATAGGTGAGGTGATTGCATATTCTTTATTGAAAGTTATCTGGTTTATGAAATCTGTACAGGAAGCTCAGCAGTGAGAGGTAATCGTGACTTCAATTTCAGATGTTTAGAAGTGCTAGTTCTGAAAAGATAAAATACTGCTAGGTCTGTGAAAAAATTAAGGTAAGAACAAAATTGAACATCAAAGTGCTGATTTAATTGGTTACAACTGTCTGACAACATGAATATTTCCTAAATAAACAAGTCATGATAGAAGTGGTAATGAACAAGGAAAAGGAGAGTGTGCCAAATTAGTGATTGCAGTGTAACTTCAAGTTGTCTACTAAATGCATGTCCGGTGGCTGAAAACCTGTGTATTTTTTAAATAAAAACTTTGGTTGCTTTGTACTAAAGTCGGATAGAACTTGGCTGATGGGAGAGCAAGCGAATTATGTCACAGACACAGCACTAACAATGCAGGTCTCTTTTGGAGAAGCAGACTTAAAAGTTTTTATCTCTCATTAGCAATCAGCCTAAAAATCATCCCAGATTTTCTTACTGTAAAACCTTAAATTGTTGGGGTTTTTGGCTAAAGACAATATTTTCTCTGTTAATCTGGTGTGTGTCTGTGCTCAGTGCACTGGCAGGTGTCTGGAGGTGTACACAATTGAGGCATATTAGAATCAAGCAGTGACAAACTACAGATGGTAGAGCAAGTTCCAGTGGAATCAAACTTAGTTAGAAAACGCACTTGAGTTATACTAATGCCATATGAAACTTGAGCTTGAAGCAATGAGAAGTTTGTTTGACATTTTTCAGTTTATAATACGAAGCATTTTTCATTTTAATTGGTTTTAATGCTGCCAAGCATTTGACAGCCCTGGAAGCTAAATCATATTATTCACAGAACAGGTGCACTTGCGAGTTAGTTACCATTTTCTGCCAAAGTGTCTCGGCCCTCTTTTAGACTGGTCAGCTGTTCAAGTGGGAAGGCTCTCCAGTCCTTGGCCTTTACTCTGAGGCAGCCAACATAAGTACTCACTGATACTGTTTTCTTCAGGCTTTCTTTTTTTTTTTTTTTAATGTGCTTTGAAATCACTGACTGCATCCTCTTATAATACTATCAAATAATATGAATTTCAAGTATTATACAGCATGGAGTTGACCTTGAGATGAAAAGATTTGTACCATCAACTAAGTAGGAAAAATATCTTAAAATATTTTCTTATCCCTAGTAAGTACCGCAGAATTGAAGGGCCTTGGACATGTTTCTCTAAATGGGCTTATACTGAGCCAAAGGCAGTATTTTCCTCCCATGACCATAGGTATAGGTGTGAGATAAGAACCATAGAACCCTGTTGTGGTTCTGTCGCTATCTAACCATTATATTGCTACCCCATGCAGCAGTCCTTGCTGCAGTGCTACTGCAATGTTCAAAGGCACAAGACACGATGATGCTGCCCTCTCCTCCATTTTTCTTCATGGAGAACTACAAACATGGAGCGGGCTATCTTTCCTTCCCCAGGGGTTAATTATACTTACGTAATTCCACTTCGGTCTGTTGAGGTCTTGCTTTTGCAGCTGCTCCTTTAGCAGCAGACTGTAGCATTTCCACATTGCCACACCAGGATATGATTTAGCCCACACTCTTAAGGTTTTGAGTCCATTCAGTCTTTTAAAGACTCTGTAAGATCTTTTTAACAAGTAAAATTGAATGTGGTGTTTGGTGGTTTTTTTAAATATTGCTCTCCGATGTTGACTGTAGCTCTTACTTTGTGGCAGTAATTTACTAAACCATTTTCATTCTCTTGCTTAATTTTAGGCTTGGACTGAAAGATCAGCAGGAGCGAGAAATTGTTCATGTTATCCTTTACTGCTCCTTACAGGAGAAGACATATAACCCCTTTTATGCATTTTTGGCTAACAAATTTTGTGAATACGAAAGACGATTTCAGGTAAAGAAAAATCTGTTTGTTTTAGTGTCATTACTGTACTTTAAAAGTCAGTTATTAAATACCTGAAAATGGATGCATGCCTACTGAGATCTCGATCCTGAGGAAAAATTCTTCTGGTATGGCTATGCATTCAGTAAGATATACTCATGGTCAGATCTGAATAGGAAATAAACTAATTACTGAAGAGGGTTTGCTTTCCTCTGTTTTACACATCTCAAAAGAATTGAACAATCTGATCAAGCATCTCTGTTAATTAACAGAGGGCTCATTAAGAATAGAAGATCAGAAGGTTTTGTTACATTGTTATTTAAACAGTCACTTGATTTGTAGGATTTTTTTTTCCTTTGACACCTAGGTGACATTTCAGTTTAGTATTTGGGACAAAATCAGAGACTTAGAAAACCTGTCAGCCACTGCCATCTCCAACTTGGTTTCACTGTTGGCTCACTTATTGAGGACAAAATCACTGCCACTTTCAGTTCTCAAGGTTGGTGTGCTTTCATTTCAAAAAGACTTGGGTGTTTTCCTTACATTTGCTAGTTCTATGGAAAATGTACTTTCTCTGTTACCTAGCTAGTACTTTAGCTGTTCATGATCATAAGGAGAGAAAACTTGTACTCAAATTACCAAATTAATACAATTGATTATGGTAATGCTGTCATTTGGGGAAAAGAAAACCTGTGGTGACCCAAGCATACAGAAAGTCTACAGTTCTATATCTAGAGCAACTGTAATATTATTTTCTTTAGAATATCCAGAGTTAGAATGGAGGCCCCTTCATTAACAGGCTTTGTCGGTGAATTTTGTGCTGTGTTTTTTATCTGATGTTGATGTTTTTATTAGACCAGAAAGAAATCTACGGAGTACTTGGATTTTAGGATGGGGAGTCCATAGAATTTTTTTAGGAGAATAATTGAAATGTGTTAAACAGGCAATTATATGGATTGTCCTAGGTACTTTTGAAGTATTTATTTACTACAGAAATTATATCTGGTATTCTGGTACCTGCTAGACAGGTTATTCCTTAGAAAGTTCTCTGCTTTCCTTATTGATTGGCTTTTGGAGGCAGCATTTTCAGCTAATTCTTCTGTGCCAAACTTAATACTCGGTATATATGGGAGGCCAGTTGGTGTGCTAAAAGCAGTGCATGTAGAAAATAATTCAGCTGCTTAAAATACTTGAATTAATCTATTTCTCCTTCTATCTCTACTAGGTAATTGAATTCGGTGAACTAGATAAACCCAAAGTTCGTTTCTTGCGACAAGTATTAAGCATGCTGTTAATCAAAACAGATGCTGAAGAACTTAGTGACATTTTTGTGAGGTAAGTGATCAGACACACCTCCGGGGAACCCTTGATGAGTAGTAATTTAAAAGATAAGAAGTTTGCTTATTTTGTTTGTAATTACACAGTGCTTTTTCCAAAGATCAGCCATCCATCCCTTAAAAAGAAAGCTCTCCTGCGTGAGTGGGGGGAAGCATATCATTTGTGTGTTAGCACGGGCTCTGATATAGATACAACTGTGAGAAGTGTTATACAAAATAAGGCTTTTAGATATTCAGTGTATCATTTTGGTCATAGGATTTTCATGAGCAGAGCTCTGTAATTACCTGGTTTCCTTTATTGCTTTACCATCTGTGTACAGTGGGATTCACTCTGCCAGCAGTCTTTGCTAGAAGATATCTTTCGTGTAAGAAGGAAAAATAAAGTAATACTAATGAGGGAAAAGTTTGGTGGATTTTCTTTTTTTTGTTTGTTTTAAATCAACATTGTCTGGAAAACCTTATTTTTGTATATGAGACAGGGTTGCCTGGAGAGGCTGGGAAATCTCCACCCTTGGAGATGCCTAGGACTTGAGTGAAAACTGAGCAGCCTGACCACACCTGGATGTTAGTCTGACTTAAAACAGGAGGTCGGAGATGACCCGACAACATCCTTTCTGACTTAAATTATTCTGTGATTCCATGATTTTGTTGTATTAAACTTGCAATGTCTCATAAACTTAGAAAAAAATAGATTATGATCTTTCAACCATTGTGCAACAACACAGATACCACAAACATGGTATTTGCCTTGTTTTTTTGTTGTGATGTAGTTGTTTTCATAAGTCTAAGTTTCCAATATTCCATTTTATTGTTAAGGATCAATTGTGTGTTGAGTGTGTTTGGGCTGTTTGCCAAACCAGCGTAGATTTGCTGGGAATTTGAAAGTCATTTCAGAAAAGCTTCTCTTATAGGTTGGATTTCTTTAATACGTCTCTGTTTGAAGTAGAAAATACTATTTTTGGTCTGTATCTTTACAGGATGTCTGACAACCCCAAATTGGGAATGCTACGGGAAGGCTTGAAACTCTTCCTTACCCACTTCTTACTGAAAAATGTACAAGCCCGAGGAAGTGCTGAAGAAGCTAGCTTATTAAAAGAAAGAGTTGAACTAGCAACCAAGGCTTTGCAAGCAAAAGAACCCAAATTGAAGCTATAGTTCTGTTTTTCTAATAAAACATACAGAAAAACTGAGTCTGCATGAAGATGCAAAGCTTTGTTAGTCCTTCAGACCCAAATAATTAAGAATGAGGAGAGCAGTGTTAGCCTAAAGGATCTTTTTTTTTTTTTATGTAAACAGTTACTTTGCTCTACACACTAGTTACAGATTTAGTTGAAGGTTATACAAAGGCCTTTTTGAAGAAAGGGAAAATTTTTTTTTGTCATGTCCCTTTTTAGTACAAGACAAATTTTTTTTTGTCGTGTCCCTTTTTTTGTCTTGATGGTTAGTATCTGGGGAAGAGGATGAATTTCTCTTCTGTGATACTCCCAGTCAGTAGAAGCATTCTGCATTTCATATTCTAACCTTTCATTTAAAATAATAGCATAATACTGACCACTGTATGTTAAAGAAGCAGCCTTCACTGAAGGCTTTTAATAAGGAATTATTGTACTTGCCTGAAGAAAGAGGCCACTAGATGGCCTAAGTACTGATGAGTCAGTTTTGGAAGAAACCAACTTTTTTCTTAAAGTGTAGAAGTTATCTGCTAATTCTGTGAATTATTTACCTGACTGTGGGTCAGGAAAAGATCTTCAGTTGGATTGAAAGCTGTAGTAAAAGGACTTGAAGATCTGACTTTGCCCAATTATATTGGGTTTAGAGATCACAACATAGTTTTATTGCTCTCTTAGCCTGTTTTTCACAGCTTTAAAATTGGAGGTGCCTAATCACTTGTGTTAATCACATTTTTCTAGGCATAAAGAATAATAGCAGTATGAGTCTTTTAATAAGAGAATATATTTCTTAAGAATTTGTTCGCATTTTCCATTCAGATGTTGAAAAAAAATCGGGTACTTTCTTTAATACTGAGTGTTAATGGCTTGTTTATTTTGTCATCTTACCACTACACATTAAACTACACTTTTTCTAAAGGCTTTGCTGTTTGTATTAGCTTTACTCTAGCTGGCTTGCCAGCAAGGGAATGACCTTAAATTGAAGGGGGATGGGGAGGAGGAAGCACTTTCTTGTCCACAATATGCGCTGCATCTGCATAATCTACCTGTGCTAGAGCTGCCAGCCCCAATTCTGTAACCAGGCTTGCCCTCTGGTGTTCGATCGTCCACTCTGTTAGGATGCCTCCTAATTGCATTTGATATCAGTTGATTTATTTGGCTACTTTGGATCTGTACCTGTTTGGGAAAATCTGCTCCCAGTAGGCATCCTCCAGGAAATTTTCAGTTCTGCAGAAAGAGAGGTGGACAAAAGTGTTTGATTTTTTTAAAAAAAATGTTTTTAGTGAGAGTTGAATATAGAATACTTTGCTTGCTCAGTTATATGAGTACTGTTTTCAGGCAGAGGAGTGCTTCCCCCAGTAACCAAGGAGCTGTTTTTCTCACCTTTCATCTGTTGGAGGGGGCAAGTTGCAGGCAATGAGGTGTCTTGGGAGCAGAAAGACCCAGTTTCAAAATCCCAGGTTATGAGCACGATAACAACTAACACTGATTACCACCAAAACAAGAAAGTAAGATGCTTTCTTCAGCCCTTTCATGCCAGTGGCAGCTTTTAAGCATACAAAACTGTCTTTTTCCCCTCAGTTGCATCTTACATGCAACAGGCATAAGAGGAAATAATTCAGTTGTTAAAATCTGTTTGAAATTCATACCTATTAACAAAAGTATGGGCAGCAGAAGAATTGACACTATTCTGATGGATACAAAAGCCACAACTTTGGAGAGTGCATGTAAACAGCTCCCTTGCAAACAACCAAGTCAAACCTCATGTTTTAGTTTTGGAGGCTGGGTTTGGGAGAAAATCTCAGCAAGCCTCTAGAAACTGGCTGCTGTGGAAGCAGTTTACTCAGTGAGTAAAAATTGCTCCCCCTGGACTGCAGCAGCCACCTAATTAATTACCTTTTTTTGCAGAGGTTTAGGTAGACCCAGCATTTCAACATGTTTGTGGTTTAATAATACATAAATGGAAACACATTGCTCTAGCTGGGAGGTTGAAGCAACTTTGCTTCTCAAGATAAATCTTGAAACCTCTTCCTTAAATTAAATACGACAGGCTGCTGGTTCCTCATTTGAATGCTTTGCTTGGTGATCAGAATTGACCACCCTTTGCTGCCCATGGAAAGATTGCCTAGTGTTTTATGGGTCTGAGTCTATTCACTTGCTGCAGCTGCCTGAGGCGGTGTGGTGCAGGTGTTGCTATTCAATTAGAGGAGATGGTTTTAACCTTACAGTCTACAATTACAATTGCTGGGGTTTTTTAAACTGAGAGTTGCATTAGTTATTTTATCCCAAACAGCTAGTATGTTTTGTCCAAATTTAGTTATTAGAGCCATTGCTTTGTTTCTGAAGAAAACACATTTTACCTCCCTGCAACTTCTACATTTGTCACATTTATGTATAAACACAATTTTTTAAAAACCCTGAATTTTCAAGGGAAGCAGCCAAAATACACTGCCAGTACACAGTGCCGTAGTCATGGTACAAGGGGAGTTGCTGCTGGTGATTCTGCATAAGTTCCATCCTCTCACTGTGATTCCGTGAGGGAGTAACTGTTAAACAGAAATTTGACAATTCTAAGACAAATGTGAACTTCTGAGTCTTGGATCTTGCCATGTTTAACAATTTTTTCCATGGTCCTACTGGCCAAACTGCCACAGCTTGACGGAGGTAGAAGGCACGTCAGAGTGTGCTGTTGATGTACAGACACATCTGCAAGCTGTTGCTTCTGTGGTCCAGTCACATCCCAAGGATATAAGGCATATATGAAAAGGAAAGCTGAGATTATATTAAAATATATATTTATACATAATATATTTTATAGATATCGTATATCTATAAATGTGTATATAAATATATATACTTTTTAATCTGTATCATATTTTTAACCTTAGAGAAAAAACTCGTCACCAGCAAAGTTAGCCCTGCCAAAATGTCTCCTCCTTACAGCAGGGTTGTCGGTGCTATAAGGTCTTTCTGTAACAGCAGCAAGTCAATGCTGGCAAGCGGCTTCCTGCAAAACTGCACACTAAGCACTGACTGCCCAGCAGAGGCTGCTGGAGAAGGTACACCAGGCTTGTACATGTTTTGCTTTGTCTACTGCAGAATAAATGTTTGATAACACGCATACATAAAATACAGCGTGTTGAGATTCCTTCCTATTGAGTATGAGACTGTTAGCCAACATCAAACCTCCATGAGAAACATTCCCTCATCGTTCCGATAAGAGAGATGCCACTTAAAGTCTCCAAACTTCTTCCATAAAGGAGGTTTGGGGGAGTTACTTCTTCATAAGCAGAACAGGACTTTGAATTGGTAAGAATACACTGCACTGGAAAACCAAGCGGCGACGGTACGGTTGTGACACTAATCCTTACTCCTGACAAGCCAGTGGAAAATACAGCATGATTTGCTTTAGGTGCATTTAACTAAAAGCCGGATGTTTGATTTTTTAGCTATATAGCATAAGATTTCAATTCCCCCTTTAAACAGCACTACCCACTCAGCTATTACCGCGGTTTCAATTTTTGTTTTCTTTTAAGCTGGACAGCGATGTTTTAAACTTTCTCTGTTTTCTGTATCAAAATTAACAGGGCAGTAAAGTCTGGTTTTCAGCTTTGGCCAGAGTGTTACACTGATAAATCATATGCAAGTCCTTTTGGCAGGTTTTTAACACCGCACCTGAATGGGCCAAGTATCTGCAGGGCTTTTTTAACTTGACATTTTTCCATTGTCCTGCACACCGGGGATGACGGGTTGATATCAGCCGTGCTCCTAAAGCGCAGACGCAAGCAGGTCTCCCTTGCCTCGCACTAGCGAAGGTGTGCAACCCAATACTGTGCTTAAAGCACATCTGGGATCGTTTGATTCGCATTGTTCTACGGGTGAACTTTGCACGTGAAAAGTTACAGTGCAGGAGCAGCACGGTGCCAAATGTGCGCGACTGCTTTCAGCTTGATAAAGACGTGAGTGGCAATTTTTGTTGCATTGAGGGTAATAGCAGCTTAGTGCCTGGCTACATCTGTGTGTGTGAGAATCGATACGTGATTTTTTTCCTGCAGTAGATGAAGCAATTTTGTTTTCAGGAGACAGTTTGATCTGTAGGGTCGCTTTTCCAAAGGCGGGGTGTAAATTTTACCCAAGACTTTTTGGGTTGGACTGATTTCAGGAATTGTAGGTAGAGATATGACTCTTTTACCATATGCCACTTTTCGTGATTTCATCTCCTGGAGGAACTTTCCTTTGCCCTCCAGTAAAGCTTAGTTTACCGTGAGGCCCGCAGGCTTGGACATCACAGCTGCCTGTATAAAACAGCTGTGCTATCCTCGAATTCTGGTGTGACCTGCAGCCTTGCTTTAAAACTAATTACAGTAGCCTTCCACTAATTTAGATGCATGCACAATTCAGGATCGGATATCATGTGGTTTCCCTAATAACACTTTAAGGAAATGAAATGAGTATCTATTAAGAATAAGCTTAGGAAGAGCCAGCTGGCATCAAAAATTCCTTAAAACTTGTGTCCTAGGACAAAACAGTTCACACACCAAAACCAGCTCACCTCCTGTGGAGGACTTCAAAGTGAATACATTAAAAAATTGCTAAGTAGTGCAACTAGAATGAGCGTTACAGAGTAAAATGACAGAGACCTTTTTTGAATCCTTCCTTTAAAGCCTTTTGTCAGTAACAGTGCAACAGTTGTTTAATTTTCCTAAGTGAAAAGTTTCCAAGCACGACACATTCTTCATTAAAAACTCCATTATAGACCTTTTACCATTCAGACAGTAAGAGTACCCTCAAATCTCTCTTGGGTGGGCAGGCACACACAGCTCTGGCATGAAATAACAGGGAATATTGTTAGGAGGCAGTGAAGCCCGCTGCAGGAACAGCCTTCAGTTACAGTCAAGGGATGGAACAATGCATTTTTCTACTATACAGACAATAATGTGAGATATGCTCGGTGTCACCTTGGGGAAAAATAAGTCATCTTGATTGCATTTTCTAGGCTTGCATCTTACTCACAAAATTGTCTCTCCTCCTCAGCCAAAGCCTTAGATCCTGAATGGATCTTTTTTTTCCTTACTCTGTAGTTCAATTCACCCTTAAAATGTTGACTAGATGGTGTTTACTTTCCAAGCTTCCCTAACTAGATTGCTTTGAAACTAAGTCTCTTGGTCTCCTGAAGATTTTTATTATGCCAAGGATTCTGCAGGTACTTTGTGACAGAGATTAGG